GTTGGGTGAGCAGTATTCTAGGCAAGCACTTGCCAGACGCTGCTGCATGCTTTTGGCAAACACCTTTTTTGACAAAAACCTTGAAGAATTTTGAGGACACTTCTTAAAATTTTGAAGACGTTTATGATGTTTGGTTTTTACACTTGCTGATAATTTCTTCAGTAAAGTCAAGTTAGGCAGCCTGGCAATTCTGTGTCTGAGACTCTTTACTGATATCAATCTCTATGCCTCGAGGCTTTCTTTAGGGCTCCATTGTGTAAATTAGTCAATTTCTGTACATGAGGTCCCTCGGGGATTCTCGTTTTCTACACTTGTGCCTTTTTGGCCGACATCAGAATTATATCCATCCATTAGCATTTAGAGTATAAAACTAATTGTTCTTCTTCCAGATAAGGTAAGACCTTCCGCTCGCACATTCTCAAGTCCTGTCCCACTTCTCCCGCTGTCAGCTTTGGTGACAATAACATGAAAATTTGGGTCCAAGGCTAAGGCAGGAGGATCTAAATTCAAGCCCAGGCAGCTTATAGACATGGTGAGGCCAGGCAAGCAAGCCAGGATGAAAGCAAGAAAGCAAGGAAGCAAGGAAGGAAGGAAGGCAGGAGGGAGGGAGGGAAGGAAGAAGGAAGGAGTGAAGGAAGGAGGGAAGGAGGGGCGGGAGGAGGGAAGGGAGGAAATTGAAAACCTTAGAGGTCCAGTTCAGTGCGAAGGGTTTCTGTCCCATCCCTACTACCTCAAGAAATTACTTTCAGGCTCTCCCCAAATTCCTTGTCTTTCCTTTTCTGAGCAGCCTTTTCAAACTGTCACTAAGCTTCATAGTCATGCTCTAACCAACTTGCTGCAGTTACAGTAATTTTTTCTAAAACATATCTTCCTCTTCCAAGAGCAGATGTGATTGGGATGGCTGTGGACTTCCCCTTTCTTGGATTATCTAGTTAGTGTGATTAATTTTCCATTTGACTGCGGTTTATTGAGTACTTTTTTTTTTTTTTTTCCTAGAAAATAAACCTCCCAGGACCCAAGCCTGAGTGCATGGAGCCTCTTTTGGTGTCCTCTGCTTTGTTGCCCAGCTCAGGGCCTGGCACGGCGCATGCTCAGTGGCACCCTCTCTCCTGAAGTCCAACGTGAGTGACCCGGGCTGGACTGTCCTGTGCCCTGGGCCCTGCCTGCCCTCCTAGCTGCTTCGCGGAGCTGGTGCCTGACCGTGGGCACAAATGTGTCGCGTACTCCCCAGGCTTTGTTTTCAGGCTTCTGCTCATGTGAGGGAAATTTAGGACCGGTGACAGATGATGGGCACCTCGGGGGACTCTGGCTCCTTCCTATTTCCACTCTGGTTTATTTGGCTTAAATATTCACATGTTTGCAAAGGGCTGTGTGTGCTCACAACCAAATCTCAGCATATAAAGGAGGAAGCAGTGACAATGAAGCCCCCTCCTGGCCTGTGCAGCCCCTGCCACTTTCTCTCCCCAGATGCAGCCTTCTGTGCCCCGCTGGCCCCCTCTTCACAGGTGTCCTTTTGTGGGGAGATGTGCCCATGTTCGCAGGTTAGTATGCCCACGGAAGCCCCCAGATACATGGCCCTCGCCACTGCGCAGAACAGGCTGCGACCTCACCTTATTTTTAAACAATATTTGTATGTATGTGTGCATCTATTTTTGTATGTATTTGCCCGTCTTTATGGGGCACATCATGGCGGTCCAGAACACGGATATCACGTGGTGTAATAATCAGGTCAGGACAGCAAGCATTTTTATCTTTTCAAACTTTGGTCCTTTTGAGGTGTTGGAGAATTTGTGCTTTTCCAGACCCAGAAGCTAGCCCTCCTCTCCTGCCCCTCGTGGAAAGGCTTCCTGGCTCCTTCTTTTCTGCTCGCCACCTGCTGTTCCAGAGCCAGCTGCCCCTGTGGTACCAGTGGTCTCAGGGAGTTCCCAATTTGTACGTTTTAGGTAGTTTCTGATTCTTTTATTATTTATAGCTGAGGAAACTAAGGCTCAGAAAACCTAGCTCACCTGTCCTGGGCTACAGGGTGGGGGCTGAGAGGGAAAAGGAACAGAAAGTGGGGAAGGGGGTGGAAAGAGAAAGGGGTGAAGGAAGGGGTGAAAGGGGTGGGAGGGGAGGAGGAGGAGGACAGGAGAAGGGGGAGGAAGGGGAGCAAGGGGGAGGAAGGGGAGCGTGAGGGAAGAGAGGGCCCCATCCTTAGGAATGCATGGCCCTAACATGTCCGGCTGATCTAAGAAACGGGCCAGGACCCCCAGTCTCTGAGCCATGGGAGGAAGGGCTTATGCAAGGAGACTGGTTTCAGGAGCAAACCCTTTGCAAAGCAGCTTGCTTCAGAGTTTGGGCCTACCTGGCTTGAAGTCCTGGGAGATGCTAGCAAGTCCGAGAGTATCCAGACCTCGAATCAGAGTCCCCCTGAGCTGAACCCCACTTTTGCCAGGGCACCCGGCCTCCAGCTGATTCCGACATGCAAGGTTCATGTATTTACCCTCTACACCCCTGAAATGACAGAGTCAAAGGAATGCCTGACCCCAATACTTGTCCCCAAGAGCAGCTCCGGGGGAAGCACAACCCCAGGAAAAGCAGAGCACCCTGCAGGGGGTTGCGGACTTCTCCCATCTCCTCAGGGGCACACGGTGGATTCATGGACAGTTAGTTCGGACATGACCACGAGCTCCAGGTTCATACACAACCCAGGAACAGAGAGGCCCCGATGCTCAGTGGGAGACGGGAAGAGAGAGGCCCCGATGCTCAGTGGGAGACGGGAAGAGAGAGGCCCCGATGCTCAGTGGGAGACAGGCTTGCCTCAGTCTAGGGATATTTCACAATAGCAGCTCCTGAGACGGGACAGGCTGCCTATAAAGAAGTGAGCTTCCTGTCCCGGGAGGTATGTGCACTACTCTCAGGCTGGGTTCCTTGACTGGCCCTTGGAGGTGACATGTTCAGGGCCTCAGGGTCTCAGTGGGCTCTGGTCACTGGGCTTGGGATGCTGAGGTACTCTAAGAACCTTCTGAATCCTTAAAGCAGTGCATCCAGCAGTGTTGAGGGTTAGGTTCACAGGGAAACTGCGTGGAAAGGCGGAGTTCTCCTGTCCACCCCAGTACAGCCCTCCGGTGATCACTGTCCCCTACCAAGGGTGTGTTTGTTATAATAATGAAACAAGACAGATGCTTCACTGCCGCCCTGAGCCTGCAATGACCTCAGGTCTCAGCCCTGGAGGTGGACACCAGCATCACAGAGGGGGCGCTGCCCTCAGACTCCTGCACTCTGCTGGTGCCTCCTTCCCTCCTCAGCCACCACGGTCTCTGTAGCACGGCCTTTTCCAGAATGGCACATGGCTGGAGTCGCGCAGTGTGTTGTCCGTTCTGTGTGGCTCCCTTCAGTGAGTGACAAGCTCTGTGTTCCTGTGCCTGTTCGGTGACTAGCACCCCCTCATTCGTTCACTCATCCTCCAGGATTCAGCCAACGCTGACCGGTAACTGCCCTGTAGGGCACCCTCGTTACACAGAGGGAGGACACCATGGTCCCTGCTGTCAACTGTGCAGGGCTTGCCCTGGTTCGGTGGTCCCTCCCTGACCACGCACTACACAGATGACTGAGGCTGCCCTGGATGCCTCTGGGCTGTGCATCCGACCAGCCACTGTGTTGGCAGGGGGAGAGGGCTCACGGGCCCCGGCTGGAGCTGTGTCCAGGATCAGCCAGGTTCGCTCTGATCCAGCGTCCCCAGACTCATCTCGCAGACACCACTGATCATTGGCCCCCCAAGCTCTGAGAGGGCGTCAAGAGGCTGAGACATTCTCTGGACACTGCAAGGCTTTGCCAAGGTTGGCTTGCACCAGACCCAGCATTACATCCATGCAGGAAGGGCTGCACATTTGGGGGCGGGCTGGCGGCCGGTGGCACACACGCCTCCTGGTCTTCAGTGTTCCCCTTGCTCCTGCCCAAGTAGGGGGAAGCACAGCACACTCCCCTCCCTGCTTTGCTCTTGGGGCTCACGATTGGGGTGTGTCCCGTCATAGCACTGCTGCCGGGCACAGAGAGGCAAAGTGGTGAGGACAATGCCACTGGGAGTAACTCATGCAGCCACGCCGGCCTTTCCTTTCCCTTGGAAGGGGCAGAGGTGGGTTGGCTTCTCTCTAGGCAGGGCACCCACTTCCTGTGGCAGCCAGTGACTCAGGAGGCGCAGCCCAACCTGCTGGAGGGCCTGGCCCACTGCCCACCCCACCCAGGCACGTGGTGCTGTGCCCTCAGCTGCTACTTGCTGAACGGCCCCCCTGCGTGTGGCACACACAGGCAGACCCCCAGTGCCATTACCAGGAGCGGCTAGATGGTCGCTGTGCCTCAGGACCCGAGATGAGATCATTTGTCCAACAAAGACACCCACAGGGAAGAAACAAAGTTAGGACCCCAACACCAGGGCAGAATTGCGCAATGCCCTCTGCCCCAGGCCAGGACTGTGAGAAAGCCTGTCTGCAACACAGCCACCATCCCCAGCAGCCACCATCCCCAGTCACCTCAGTGCTTAGCAGCTGATCCTGGCCAACCCCAGAGAGCAGGAGCACAGTATTTTGCAGATAGAGAAACTGAGGCTCAGAGACTGCTGAGCTATTCAGGTAAAACAGGATCAACGAGCAGCACAGCTGCGACCAAAGCCCAGCCAAGTCCACACTCTGCGCCCATCCTCGCAGCCCCCACGGGCTCCCCTTCCCCAACGTTTCCCAATGGGCTCCCCTTCCTCAGCGGGAGGCATCTGCCCACAGTCCATAAAAATCAATCGCTGAAGCACTCGCCCCACTGCAAGCAGAAAACAAGGCACTTCCCCTGTCTCCTGCCCAGCCCTTCTCCCCGTCACTTGTCAGAGTTAAGAAAGGAGGGCAGCTTTCCCCAAACTCCCCAGGTTCAGAGAGAACCCTCCCTCCACGTGGGAGTCAGCTCGGCTGCCTGCCCTCCCTGGGCTGGGACGTCCCAGCCTCTACAAACGTCCTCTACAAACGCCAGGAACTCACCGTGTCTGGAGCACGCAGTGGAGCCACTTTGCAACTCCTCACCCAGCGGGGCTCCTGTGAACCCCACCGTCGCCAGCCACCCCTTCAGGAGCCCCGGAGAGTCCGGAACAGCTCATCTTTCAAGGGCTGGGGTGGTGATGTCACCACGCTCCTAGGCTTCCTCCTCCTTCCTCCAGCCCAGGTCGGCGCCCCTGCCCAGGCTGGAGCCGGGCTGGCAGCCGGTCAAGCTGGGAGCCCTGGCTGCCAGGGGCCAGACCAGATGGATGTAGCTTCCTCTGAGCCCGGGGATGCGGGGTGTGGGGATGGGGGA